ATTCATGGGGGTAGCCTGTACACTTTGCACAGGGCAAGAAAGATTTATTTCTACCAATATGACAGTTGAGAGTAAGGCTCAGAGCAACAGAATTATTTACTCAGCAGGTGTTTTGGACCTGAATTCTGACAGGGAGCTCACTCTCCACGTAGAGCTATTTGGCTCCACCCCGCCAAAATGGAAGGAGTGATATTTGCCTATTTCTGGGCACACACACCCCACAGAGCGTTTGTCTCTACTTTCTCCCACTTTCTATGATTTAAGGTCACCCCAGAGAACCTGCATAGATGTGACATTACTTTGCGGTGTGTCTTTAGGCACGAGCTTATTTCATTATACATTTCTGTGTCAGAAACCCTATTTCAGTGGACAGAACTGTTCCAGACTGACTGTAAGTGGAAAACACAGAGTTGAAAGTGAACCAAGGAGATCAGCAGATGGCTTAATGGTTATGTAGCTGGACTCCCATGTAGTCAACCACGGTTCAACCCAGCAGCTTAAAGACTCATGCTGGGCACATGTGTACATGGGCCCAAGATCCCAAGAGGATAATGGAGGATAAGAGATTGTGGTGTGGCCAACTCCCGGGGGGTGATTTCTCTCTTTCTGTCTCTGTCTTTCCAACAAGTACATGCAAAAAAAAAAAAAAAAATGTGAACTAGGTGTATTATTTTAGGTGCATGAAGTCAGTCTGCAAAAGAGCAGCCACTTAGGGGAAATCCACACTTTACTGGAAGCTTCTGAGCAGAACCTGAGTTCTTGTGGTTTTGCAAAATGAGAAGAGACAATGGAGGCCTCAGTAGCATGGTGATAGCCAAGGGCCAGAGAGGCACAGAAGGTGGAACACTACTGTCCACATATTCCCCAGACTCTTCCAGCACTCTTTGCCCCATTTATCCTCCCTCTCTGGTGGTCCCTACTTTTCTGTGCTCCTGGCCATGTCCCTGGGTGGTTCCACACATTCTCCCTTTTTTCAAGGTCTTGGCTGACGCAGAGGTAGAACCTATATTGTTCTACTAAACCTTGCCAAGTTGCTTCCCAGAAAGTCCAGGGAGGAGGGAAGGTAACAGATGAAGCTAAAAGGCTTTCAGAATATCCATATTAAAGTGTTGTGAGTAAAAAGCATAGGCCACTTTGGCTTTGAAGGAGAGGACACTCAGAACTGATGCTCAGGAAAAAGTGTTCAGGGGGGCTGCTCCACAAGAAGCCAAGGGGAGACTGCAAGTGGTGAAGGTTGGCAGAGGAGAGTGGGAGCCTGGGCTGCTTGGCATGGCAGGGGGATGGGAGTAAAGCCTTGGACAAATAATTTTTCTCTCTGGTCAAATTAATGACAATAGAAATAAAACCAAATAATTACTTTAAAAATTACTTCATTACTCTTTATTACTTTTTTTTGAGAGAGAGGTTTTTGCTATAGGGCGCGTGTGCTCGACAGAGAGAAAGAGAGAAATCACCCCCCAGGGGGGATGGCCATGCCGCAATCCCTTCTCCTCCATTCTCCTCTTGGGATCTTGGGCACCCACGCACACGCACCCGATGTGAGTTTTAAGCCACCGGGTCTGGGATTGGAACCACGGTTGACTACATGGGAGTCCAGTGACATAGCCATTATGCTAACTGCTGGTCCCTTACTCTTTATTACTTTTAATTTGCTATGGGAAATACAGCATGTACACTTGCCAGAGAGGGAAAATGAGGCAAACCAAGTCACCAGATCCAGGACTTGAACTGCAGTTGGATATGTGGGAGTTCAGCACCTCAACCAACACACCACCTGCTGGCCCCCTCACTGTGGTTCTAATCCCAGCTCCAGTGGCTTGAAAAAACATGCCAGGGGTCCAGCAGATGGCATGACAGTTGGGGTGCTGGACTCCTACATGGTCACCCACAGTTCGAGTCCCAGACCTGGTAACTTGCTTTCCCACATGCTGTGTGTGTGCTACAACAAAAATTTAAAAATAGTAAAATTAGGGGCCAGCAGGTTGAGGTGCTGGACTCCCACATGGCAGATCATGGGTCCAAGTCTTGAACCTGGCAGCTTACTTGCTCTCTCTCTCTGGTCCAATTTTAAAAATAGTAATGATGGGAACCAGCAGGTGGCATGGTGGTTAAGGCACTGGATACTCCCACATGGCCAACCATGGTTCAACTCTTGGACCTTGTGGCTCGCTTTCTCATTTTTCCTGTCTCTCTCTCTGGTCAAATTGAAATTGATGAGTGAATAAATTTTTAATATTATTTTTTTAAAAAGGATGAATTTTTAATAAATAAAAAAATAAAAAAGAAAAGAAAAACATGCCAGGGGGCTGGTAGGTGGCATGGTGGTTGGGCCGTTGGACTCCCACATGGCTGACCCTGGTTCAAGTCCAGGACCTGATGGCTTGCTTTCTCACTTTCCTGCTCTCTCTGGTCAAATTTTCTAAAATGGCAGGACCAGCAGTTGGCATAATGGCTATGTTGTCAGACTCCCACGTAGTCAACTGCAGTTCAAGTCCCAGACCCTCACACCAGGTGCCGGGTGCACGTGCACCACTCAAGATCTCTAGAGAAGGGATTGAGGTGTGGCCATCCTATTGGAGGGGTGACTTCTCACTGTTTCCCTGTCTCTGGTGAGCTCAGGTGCCCTATAGGAAAAACCTCTCAAAAAAAAAAAAAAAAAAAAGAGCAAGAACATGTCCCTACATGCCCAAAATCTCAACAGGATAGTGGAATTATAGCATAACCATATTGCATTCAGGGATGCTTCCTCTGGTAGACACACTCTGAGTAGGGAGTGTTACTACAACTCACTGAAGTCTATCAAATTAGTTTACCACCAAGTAACCTAGTTAAGTACTTTAGTTCTATTTATTTATTTAATTACATTTGTTATTTTTTATTTGACCACCAGAAAGGAAAAGCAAGAAAGCAAGCCACCAGGTCTGGGACTTGAACTATGGTTGACTATGTGGGAATCCAGGGCACTTATCCACCGTACCACCTGCTGGCCCCAATACTTTAGGTTTTGTTTCAGTATTTTATTTGACCACAGAGGGACAGAGCAAGAGAGGGAGAAAGCGAGAAAGCAAGACACTAGGTCTGGGACTTGAACTGCAGTTGGTCATATGGGAGCCCAGTGCCTTTAACCACACCATCTGCCAGCCCCAGTACTCACCAATGAAAAATCCCCCCACCCCCCTCAGGAGAGCCATGCCACAACGCCTTCTCCTTAGGTCTCCTCTTGGCATCCTGAGCATGCGCATACATCCAGCATGAGCTTCAAATTGCCAGGTCCAGGATTCCAACTGCAGTCACATTTGATCCAGCTCCTTAACCTCCACACCAACCTGCTGGCCCTGTTTATTAACTGGTTTAAGCAGCTACTAAAGTACCATTTCTAACACCAAACCATTCTCAGGTATATACTCAAGAATGACAGGCCTCTCTCTAGACATGTAATATTTTGCATTTTAATAATGCATACATGTGCCATTCTTACATGCCAAACCACCCCTTAAGACTGTCAAGTGATTTTATGTACTTAACTCTTAAGAGTGCATGTACCAAGGCCAGCAGGTGGTATGGGTGGGGGGAGAGGTCAAGGCAATGTATTTCCCACAAAGCTGTGGTTTGAGTCCCAGACCTGGAGGCTTGAAAATGCCCAGATGTGTGCACGTGCCAAGTCCCAAATCCCAAGAAAATGGTAAAGGGATTGTGATGTGCCACACCCCTGTGGGGCATTTTTTTCACTTGCCTTCTCAGTCAAGCACAAGCACCCTGTGCCAAAAACCTTATCCATGTTTTAGTACCAGAAAACATCCCATAGTTCCCTACTATAAACCTGAAAACACCAGAACATCCTCCAACTTCTCCTTACACATACTCCCCGCACTACTCCCACTTTGTCCCAAGTTGAGTACCACCATATTCACTGGTTAAGAGAATTGGAAATCGTTCCTTACGGCATTTAAGATGTTTTGCCATAGGGTGTGTGTGTGTGGAGACAAGGAAAAGTGTATCACCTGACCCCCCCCAAGGAGCATGGCCATGCCACAGTGCCCTCCTCTCCATTCTCCTGGATTTTGGGCATCCTTATACGTGTGCCTGGAATGACTTTCAAAAGCCGCCAGGTCCAGGACTTCAACTGCAGACAGCCACATGGGAATCCAGCAATTCAACCACCATGCTACCTGCTATCCCCTCCTTATAGCTCTCCAAATGACTACCTTATTTCCAAATATTCTAACTCCCCCCAATATGTTTTCTATTATTTTAAGTGTACACTTCAGTATTTCCTGGTATTCCAACACAAGCACAGCTTCCCTGTCAGGTACAAGTAAAATATTTTTACCAAGTACTTTGTTACATTGAATCATTTTAATAAAGCTGTTTGTCATTTAATAACTGATTAGGAAAAACCACTTACACTTGCCTTAAAGTGCCCAAATCAACAAGCTGCCTTTGATCAGAACACCCTTTTAACCCTAGATTCTTTTAAAGTACCATCATCAGCCAGCCCTTTTCAAACTTAGTGGCTAGTGCTCCATGTGCTTCTTGGTTCAGAAATTAAATAGATAGGAACAGAGGATTCTGGTCCTATTTTATGACCTAAAGTCAACACTTTGGTGTAATGCACTGGAGTTCAGTAAATGCACATTGACAGCATTCGGCTGATTATAAGACTAAACAATTCCCCTGTTCAAGCAGCCTCAAAAATTCTTAGAAGCCTTTCATCAGCTTAAGTCTAAGAAGCTACATTTAGTTTCTTTCAGCATATAAATACCTCATATTCAATAGACTTCAGGTTGCTTATACCTCTGAAATGACTTGCTATTAAATCAGAATCCCAACTTGTGACCTGGAGAAAGAACACAAACTAATTGCACATCATTACACCCAAGTATATAAAATAAGTTCCTTACTTCTGTCACATTACCAACTGCAAAGCTAATTCATTTCCTTGATACCATTTAAATCAGTTGAGTACGCGCATCACTACAGAATTTCAACAAGACACCAAATAACATGCAACAAAACCTTTATTAACATTTTGAACAGGTTCAGCTATTACTGAAACTGGTTAATTTCTAAACTTATTTGGGGCAAATGGCTATAGTGCAGAGTAATGCCATCATTGGGCACTGTGAATGTAAGACTGAAGAACTAACAGCCACCCCTCAGACGGAGGACCAGGTGCAGAGTAGACTCTTTCTGAATGTTGTAGTCAGAAAGAGTGCGGCCATCTTCCAGCTGCTTGCCTGCAAAGATGAGCCTCTGCTGATCAGGAGGGATGCCTTCTTTATCCTGGATCTTGGCCTTCACATTCTCAATGGTGTCACTGGGCTCCACCTCGAGGGTGATGGTCTTGCCGGTCAGGGTCTTCACGAAGATCTGCATACCACCTCTCAGGCGCAGGACCAGGTGCAGAGTAGACTCTTTCTGAATGTTGTAGTCAGAAAGAGTGCGGCCATCTTCCAGCTGCTTGCCTGCAAAGATGAGCCTCTGCTGGTCAGGAGGGATGCCTTCTTTATCCTGGATCTTGGCCTTCACATTCTCAATGGTGTCACTGGGTTCCACCTCGAGGGTGATGGTCTTGCCAGTGAGAGTCTTCACAAAGATCTGCATTTTGACCTAAAATTTTAAAATCAAACAAAATCATCTGTTATCTATTTTTTACTTTCATATGCAATAATTCTTACAGTATCAACAATTAGCCCTTCTTTCAAAATACCTTAAATACACTCATTTCTCACGAAGTTTTACTAGACTGGGTTAACATTTGTCGCTGAACACAAAATCCTTAAGTCAAAGATTCCCACATGAAACTACTAGAGAATGGGACCAGCAGGTGGCATGGTGGTTGGAGGCCCTGGACTCCCAGACCTGGTGGGTCGATTTCTCACTTCCTGTCGGTCTCTCTTAATCCCTCTGGTCAAATTAAAATAAATTTAAAAAAAAAAAAGCGCTACTAGAGCATCAAGTGCTTTCTAAATTATCACAGGTTCTTTCACTAACAGTTCCGGAAAAAAAAATCTCTCTCCCCTGTACTCATATCCCCCAAATCAAAGTGAGATATTAAAATTATGGTATCTAGCAGACCTGCAAATTTAAAACCTCCGTTAAAATAGAAGTGAAACATATTTACCATATTGGGATTGGAATGAAAGATTTACAAGAAACCACACAAAACTACCTCTCTTTCGCTTTCCCCTTCTGAAGCAGCCGCGATGAAATCTCCGTCGGTTAAGTGTCCGTTAGCCTCTGGCGGCGCGCGCGCGCCAGGCGCCCCCACTCCCCTCACGAAAACAAGGCCCACTCTTCCGGAAAGGCCCGGCGCCGCGTCACCTCCCCCCACCCCAACGCTTAATTTGCCCAAGAAACCCGGGCTCGACCTCACTTAAGCCTCCTCTCCAGCTCATGCAGGGATCAAAAGCCGCGGGCCAGTACCTACCACTGAAGGTGAAGAGCCTAAACGCGAACCGAGCCGAGTGCCCTCGAACCGCACACACAACCTCCACACAAAGCCTCTCGCCAATGAATGCGCGGCTTCGGCGGCGCAGCTATTTATGCAGCGCCTGTTGCGTCACACAGCACCTCCTACGTAAGCGCCGTCTCCGTACGCCGCGGAAAGTAGTTCGCTCGCCCCACCTCCCGCGAAGCAGTTAAGCCCTCTGACTGAGTCAAAAATCTCCTCAGAGTCGACAAAGGGATAACAAAAAAGGTATAATAAAGCTTCCTGCCCCTCCTGGCTCACCTTTTCCTCCTTTAGGAAAAGGTAGGAAAATGATCTGGCGGATGAATTCGAGTTAAAGGGTCCTTCCTCGAAAGCTCTGGAAACTTCCTCGCGGTGCCGGCGCTGATTGGTGAGGCGTGAGAAGGCGAGGCCGGCGCTGATTGGTGGAGGTCGCGGCGGCTCGGTTGTTGCTGGGCTCTAGGGTTGAGGGGGTTTTTTAGCGCCGGTGTTACTAAGCAACCAGGTGCGCCTGCGCCACAGAGGCGCGCCTTCCCGAAATAGGGGTACTTCCGGGTGGGGGATGACCGGTGTCTCAGTGGCTCTCACCCTGCGGTTGTGGGCCGTTAGATAAGAGACGGGGGCTCCGGGACCGTTTCTCAGGGAGGTGCTTAGGGACGGCGCGGCCCCCAGGTTCGACTTTAGAGCACGACACCCTTCCCCCGCTTTAACGCACTTTGCTGACATACTGGCTGGCCTTTATTTTTATTCTTGGTTATTCGGAGTGATTGGAGCTTTACTCACACTGCGTAGTCGGAACGCTCAGTTACTTGGTCTTAGCCCAGGGTTAGTGGGGGCCTTAGCCGGGATCCTGCCCCCGTTGCCCTTCGTCCCCAGGCCCAGAGAGACGAGGCAGGAGCTCAAGGTGACACGGTGGCCGGCGTAGATCTGGCTCGGCAATTCGTCTACTTCCTCCTTGCCGTTTTTTAACCAAACTCTGGTAGGAGGAAGTAGAAATGCGGGCTAGGGAGCTGAAAACCCGCTTCCAGAGGCGAGGAATTTACCTACAAGAAAGTGGTGTTTTTCCCATCGACGAGCTTGTGCAAGCGACAGGATGGGGACTAACCAGCCCGGACCGCGGGGCTGGTGCCCGGCGCCTGGGGTGGCCCCGCGCCCCGCAGGGCCAGGGCTAACCGAGCGAGAGGCCGCGCGTCTGGGCCTCAGTGCCACGCGGAGTCATGGGGTAAAGAACAGGAACGCGGCTGTTTTTCACGTGATAACCTTCAAGAAGTAGGAAGTAGTCTAGAAATTTGCGTATTAAATGAATTAGGTAAATAACACTTAGAAAAAGTCGCCGGTTATTAGATTTCTACATAACTGAGCCATTAAGAATGTTTTTAAGTTGGTAGGTATATGACATTTAGACAGCTTAAAATGGACTAAAACTTAGTAAGATCTACTGAATTGAATAAGCAGCAAATAGCAACAGCTTAAGATAATTTTGGAAGTGAATGCAGAGAACTTGGTGATAGTTTATAAAATGTCTTGTTTTACAAAATATGGTTTTCGTTTTTGTTACTTAACAGCCTGAACTGGTTTCACCAACCAGCAGATTCCTGAGTCACACTTATTGGTGATCAGTAGATCGAGCTGGAATGCAGATCTCATGACTGGTGATGACTTCACTGACCGTTCTCCCACTTCCCAGAAGGAACTTAGTCATATCAGCCTCCTGATTTAGTTTTCCCAAAGTAGGTCACTTGGTAACCTCAACAAAGCAAATTATATTTTTAGAAGGAAGGCACATGCTGTCATTGTACAATAAACAAGATGAATGTTTTATGGTCTGGTTATGGATAAAGCTTTCAGTAATAAAACCATTTCTGGTAATATATTGTAAAAGGTAATTTGTAAACAACTCGAACAGAATGACAGAATTCGTAAGACCAGGAATTTGGTAATCTAACATAATACTTGGTACTGTGCTCAGTACATGCTTATTCAATGCTCATACTTCAATAAAGTATAATCTTGCTTTTTTTTATTAAAAAAAGAAACTTACTCTGTCATTAAATTACACATGGCTTGGAGGAACAGAAAAAAAAGGAAAAATATTAGAATTTTAGTAAAAAATGTCAATCCTTTAAATAGCTAAAGAAATTCTTTGTATTTAATATAATCAATGATGTAGTTAGGGGTGGTATATTAATAGAAAAAAGCATGGACTATATTCCCCAGTTTATTAGTAATGGTCATGCAAACATCCATTCAGCTTTTTTTCTTAAGAATTATTTTATTTTTTTAATTGTATGCATTCATTATTTATTTTGACTTAACCAGAGAGACAGAGACACAGAAAGAAAGACAGACGGAGAGCTGAAAAGTGAGAATGTAAGCCACCAGATCTAGGATTCGAACCATGATCTGCCATGTGGAGTGTCCAGCGCTTTAACCACCACGCCACATGCTGGTCCCAAGAATTATTTCATTTTTATAACTTTACTTACTTATTTAAATTTGACTAGAGAGAGAGAGAAAGCGAAAAAGCAAGCCATCAGGTCCAGGACTCAAACCGCGGTCAGCCCTGTAGGATTCCAGCACCCTTAACCACCACCCCACCTGCTAGCTCCCTATTCAGCTTTTTAAAAATGATTTTATTTATTTATTTATTTATTTATTTATTTATTTATTTTGGAGAGATTTTCACTGTAGGGCAAGTGCGCTCGCCAGACAGACAAAGAGAGACATAGAGACAGAAAGCGAGAAATCACCCCCCAGGGGGGATGGTCACGCTGCAATCCCTTCTCCTCCATTCTCCTCTCGGGATCTTGGGCACGCACGCACATGTGCCTGGCGTGAGTTTTAAGCCACCGGGTCCGGGACACGAACCGCGGTTGACTACGTGGGAGTCCAGCGACATAGCCATTATGCTAACTGCTGGTTCCCTTTATTGTTATTATTATGTACTTATTTTAGAGAGATTTTGTAAAAAGATTATTTATTTAATTTTATTTATTCATTCATTTATATTAATTTTTCCAGAGACACAGAGAGAAAGAGAGGGAAAGTGAGAAAGCAAGCCACCAAGTCCTGGACTCAAATGGCAGTTGTCCATGTCCAGCACCCTTAACCACCAGGCCACCTGCTAACCCCTACTACTTACCTTATAATAAAAAATCTGTGATGTGAACACCCAAATTCCCAAGAGGATAATGGAAGAGAAGGGATTGTAGCATGGCCATCCCCCCTGGGGGGGGTGATTTCTTGCTTTCTTACTCTCTGTCTCTCTCTCTTTCTCACTCTGTCCCTCTTCGGTCAAATTAAAATAAATAAAATAATTCTTTAAAAAACAGAAAAAATGTTTTGTGAGAAAGGGCCGGTAGGTGGCGTGGTGGTTAAGAGCGTTGGACTCCCAGATAGCTGACCACAGATCGATTCCTGGACCTGGTGGCTTGCTTTCTAACTTTCTCACTCGCTCGCTTGCTCTCTCTCTCAGTCCCTCTCTGGTCAAATTAAAATAAATAAAGTTAAATAAAATAATTATTAAAAAAAAGATCTGTGAGAAAGCTGTGGTTGGGGGACCAGCACTTAGCATAATAACTATGTTGCTGAACTCCCATGTAGTCGACCGCAGTTCAAGTCCCGGACCTGGTGGCTTAAACTCACACCAGGTGCGTATGCGTGCGTGCCCAAGATTCTGAGAGAATGAAGGAGAAGGGATTGTGGCATGGTCACCCCCCCAGGGGGTGATTTCTCGCTTTCTATCTCTGTGTCTCTTTCTGTCTTTCTGGAGAGTGCACATGCCCTATAGCAAAAACCTCTTAAAAAAATAATAAATAAAGCTGTTGTTCCAATGAAAAATGTACAATTTAATGAGCAGGCAGGGCTCAACTGTCCAGCAAACTGCCTGTTTCTAGTCACACTTGGCCCTCCACAGTTCTTGGAAACACCAAGGCTTTTCCCATCTCCAGACCTTTGCACTTGATGTTTTCTTTGTCTAAAACTCTTCTCATGGCCATTTTTTTAAAAAAAGATTTATTTAAATTTATTTATTCATTTATTTATTTATTTTTAATTAGGCAAGAGAAAAATACAGAGAGAGGATAAATGAGAAAGCAAGCCACCAGATCTGGGACTTGAACTGTGTTCGGCCATGTGGTAATGTCCAGCACCTTAACCACCATACCACCTGCTGGTCCCCTCTAATGGCCATTTTTGTCATGTTTTAGGCAATAGAAGCATCACCTACCCACAAAGGCCTTCTCTGACATCCACTCCTTGTCTTGTTGGGTGAATCACAATGCTCTGGTTATTTCTTTCATAATTTCGTGTTTAATCAATTCATGATTTTATTGGTTACTTGACTGTTTATATCTTTACATGCCACTTCCCCAAATCCCCACCAGGATGTAAACTCCATGAGGGTACAAGCCCCATCTAACTAGTTATTATCACATCTCCACACTTAGCCAGCTAGCACAGGGCCTGGATCATAATCAGCACTTAGGACATATTTGTTGAATAAATGAATGATGAAAGAAAGGCCCTGCCTTGTTGTGCTATGGCCTTTAGACTTCTTCCTGTAGGTGTTTTGCAGGGGAATGACATGATCGGATTTCTATTTGGGAATGATAACTTGGTGACATCATAGCAGGTGAATAGACGTGGGATGAGATTAGGGCACTTCAGTGATTGTGGCAGTTGTCCAAGCCGGTATGATGAGCACCTGTGAATAGACCAAGTCAACAAAAACCAGTATCCCCAAAGAAAGCAGAAGGAAAAACCTGAAAAAAATCAAATGAAAACAAAGCATTGTTGGGACCAGCAGTTAGCGTAATGGCTATGTCGCTGGACTCCCATGTAGTCAACTACGGTTTGAGTCCTGGACCCGGTGGCTTAAACTCACACCAGGTGCGTATGCCTGCATGCCCAAGATCCCAAGAGGAGAATGGAGGAGAAGGGATTGTGGCGTGGCCATCCCCCCTGGGGGGGTGATTTCTCACTTTCTGTCTCTGTGTCTCTCTGGCAAGTGCACACACCCTATAGCAAAAACCTCTCCAAAAAAAACAAAAACCAAAAACAAAGCATTGTTTACTTGTATGTGGTCTTTCTTCCAGAAAAGATCCAAGATGACTGACTTGAAAGTATATTAC